ATGGCCTCCAACCTAAGAGCGATGGCCTCCAACCTAGAGCCATGGCCTCCAACCTAAGAGCGATGGCCTCCAAACTAAGAGCGATGGCCTCCAACAGTGCCTCCAACCTAAGCGTTTCATAGAGCGATGTGAGACGTCCAGTTGTTTTTTGTGCGGGTCCTTCCCTGCAGTCTGGCGCTTCAGCACAAAGGCAGTGCTGTGCTGGGGGATTGGTAATGGGCGAGAGAATTGCAAGTAACTCATGTGGAAAGCTTTTGTTCAGCCTACACACGATGTCTTTCTTGAGAGGCAATGGAATGGAATAAGTTGTTGGTTGTATTTTCTTTGAACGCAAAACATACATGTTTAGCCAAGAGAGTGTCACGTGACAGCTTCCTCATCCGTAACGCAGCGCCTGTGCTTTCAATCACATCCTCTACTCGTTGATGTCGCAGTTCCACAGTGCAGTGATGTTTCAGCATTTTTTTGGGAGCCAACACGGCTCGCAGCACTTGCAAACTCCGCCATTGGATTCCTTCCACACGTGTTCCAACGACCGACCAGGTTGGCACCGCTGGCCGTGTTCATGCTGATGTCGATAAGAGGTGTGGAGTCAGATGATGACTTAGAGAACTGCAAGAATAAATACAATCACATTAACTAGCGATGGCCTCCAACTCAGATTTTTTGCCAATCGAGCACACAGAAGTAAGTCAGATCCTTTGCTGAGGTACCTTCTGAGAGCCTCTGAGGTCTCACCCAAGCCGCATGCAAATGGTCAACTCGCTTGGCAAAATGGACACAGACCGGTCGACTGGGAGATGTGGGAAGGACGGGACACCCCAAATGTTATCGACCTAATAGCGATGGCCTCCAACCTAATAGCGACTATATAATACTATATATATATAATACTATATATATATATATATCTACTGTTCCTGCCTGGAAAGATGAGCTCCTGAGCCGCCCCAAAGTAAGAGCGTGGCTCTTTGTCGTGGGCCCACTGCGCAAAAGTGGCAGTCGTGGCTGACTGCCAGATCGGTCGTGGCAGCCCAGGTCGCTCAGCAGCAGCAGGCAGGATCGGTTAGTCTTGGGATCGACCCATTCCTAGGAGCAAGAACGCTACTAGTAACAAGTGCCACGCTACTAGTAGCAAGAAGCTACTAGTAACAAAGGGCATCGCTACTAGGAGCAAGAACGCTACTAGGGGCTCCTGGCCGTACTACTTGGAGCAAGTAGCTACTAGTGGCAAGTAGCTACTAGGATGGAGGCCATTCGCTATTAGTCTTTCTCGCTCTTTCAGTTGCTTCAATTGGTCACTGGATTCCACTGGATCCCATTGGTTTCTTCAGTATTTCCATGGCACGGCACGTCCGAATCCAGTTGAAAGCTGCAAACTGTGTTCCAGGTGGGCCCTGAGTTCTGTTTAGCAAGTCAGATAAGTTGTGGGATGCTTTTGGGTGTTGACAACTGTGTTCTAGGCACCCTGCTTGTACCGAATATGGGCAGTTGACGGCAGTTGTGTGTTCCTTCTTTGACTCCACGTTTGGCATTCGGAGGCCTTGGAAGGCATCACGGCCCAATTGAAGCAACACTTTCAGGGCGTAGCCGGATGCCCCAGTGCCTCATCGCATGCGGATCAACCTCATGCGGATTTTTTTTTGAGTCCCCACTTCTTTATTGCTTGGCTAAATCATCGGACGGTCTGAGAAAACATGCAGAAAGGCTCGCTACCAGGAGCAAAGGGCATCGCTACTAGGAGCAAGAAGCTACTATAGGGGCTCCTGGCATCGCTACTAGGAGCAAGGATGCTACGAACGGGGCTCCTATTTATCAAGACAAAGGGTTCTTGGTGAATTGGACCCGACTCCCCGGGACTCCCCGTCAGGAACAATCACCGGTTCTGATGCTGTCGCAGTCAGCGAGTGGGGTGCCAAGATCTTGCACTGTGCACCAACAAAGGGCATCGCTACGAACGGAGTAAGGACGCTAGGGGCTCCTGGCCTGGCTAGTAACAGTCAGAATCTTGGACGCTGGCAGTTGGATTCCTCTATACGGTTAGATCTTGATGTTGCTCGGGAATACAAGACACTCCAAAGACATCAATCCCATCTCACAAGAGTTGCACGGCTTACAAGGACAACTGGAAGCTTAGCCATCAGATGTTCACAATCCAAAGCACTGCGAATCTGTGAGGGTTCTGCGCAAGAGGGTCTGATTGAGACTTTGTTTTGAAGCCACAAACATCAGCAAATGAGAGGAACAATAAGTAGACCTCAGAGGCTGTATTCAGTACATGATTCTGGACCAAGCTCTTAGACTAAAGAATTTGCTAAAGTAGATCCGAAATGAAATTGGGAAAGCTCGCATTCTGCGCATGACGTGCAGGTTCCAGTGACAGCGTCTTTGCATGAAATTCGTTGTAGCTCTTGAGACGGTCTCTGGTCTCGACGGGTCTTACAGGATCAAAAAGGTAGCGCTCGGAAGTCACGGACGTCGGATCCCAATTGGAAAAACGTGAAGCTTTGGAGCTAGCTACTAGTGCATGGCTTCTTGCTACTAGTAGCAAGAAGCTAGCAAGAAGCTAGCTACAAGTGCACTATAGCACCTGTCAAGCTTTCAAGCTTTGGAGCTGCACTAGTAGCGTCCTTGCTCCTAGTAGAGATGTCAGGAGCCCCTATGTAGTAGCTTCTTGCCTAGTAGCGATGAACAACGCGGTGAAGCTTTGGAGCTTGCGGGTGGAAAGGCGTTCGCAAAAGGCTTAGGCCTCGACGCGCGTGGTGAGTTCATGCCGCTGGGGGGTGATACGCAGTCACCGACTGACGCGGTGTCTCCGCGCTACGCCTTACCCTCTCCGGTCCGTCGGAGAGGACACGCCGGACGACCTATCAGCCACGCTCGCGCGAGACGAGACCAGTCCACACCACATCACTTGTAGCACGCTTCGCGGACGGAAAAATGACGAATAATGCGTTCAGCCATCGCGGATTTGGAGATTGCCTTGGGCGACGACACAGCTCCAGTTGGACAGACGGATGTTGTGATGCGTTGCGATGCTACGCCGCGGATGGTGCGTTGTCGTGTGGCGTGAGTGCGTGAGTGCCGAAACACAAGGCTCTTGAAGCTCTTGCAGAAACTGCCTGTCCCGCAGATAGTTCAAACGGCTCAAAATATCCAACAGTTGCTTGATATCATTTTCATTCCATTGAAGCAGAATGGCTTCAAGAGTCCTTTGCATTTGCAGCTTGGTTGCTTCCACGATCGTTGCAGCTGTGTGTTCATGAGACCATGAGACAAACTGCGGAGACTGCAGAGTAGATATCATTTCTGACTATCACAAAGGCTAGGGCTACTGTACTTTACTAATGGGGCCATGATGGTTCATGTGTATTTGCTTGGTTTTGGCTTTAACGTATTGATAAGACTCGGTTTCCTCGACTCCCAATGAGGCTTGACAGGTGTCGCCGTCGTTCTGGCCATCCGCGAGGCTGGGATAGATCCTGGAGTCTTCAGGTAAAGGGAATTGGATTCAAAAGGACCCAACATCTGGAATTGCTTCAACCACTGAAGGTATAAAATTAATCATGATACAGTTGTGAGTTGTGCTTGAAAGGATGTGCCCCAGGTCCAAAACGTATCCGCAGCTGGGACACGAATGACATGTTCCTTGGGTGCTTGGCAATGGCAATGGCCCCTAACCTCCAACGACAACAAAATGCGATGCAACGCCGCAGCAACCTTTCTAATAGCTTCTTGTTACTACTAGTAAGGCACTTGTTACTACTAGCGTGGCACTTGTTTCTAATAGCGTGAAATTTCATGCACCCCAGACCTGGGCAGCGCTGGAGTTGCAAAATCACGCACTTTACACCCGCTTGGCAATTTGATTTTACCCGTTTTGTCAGTGTTACTTCCATCTTCTTCCTACCCGCCAGTTTTCCACTATTTTGCCACGTCTTGCCACTCAGAATGCCTTTTTGAGTTAAAGCCTTTCGCAGACCACTCCGAGCCTCCCTGTGGAAGCTGTTTTCGCACCTTAGGTCGACTGCCAAACCTGCGAAACTCGACACTTCTTTCGCGGACTTTTGTCCTTTGGAGGCTATTGGGTTGAAGGCCATTACTAGTAGCAAGGATGCTACTAGGAGCAAAGGGCATCGCTACTAGGAGCAAGGACGCTACAAGGGGCTCCTGGCATCGCTGCTAGGAGCAAGAAGCTTTCTAGTAGCAAGAAGCTACTCGCAACACGGGCATCGCTACTAGAAGTAGGATGTGCCGTCTCATGGACGCAACCCTTTCTCTTTTCTTCCTCGTCGCAGTCGGACTTTTCTGCAGCGGCACCAAGCAGTTTCACCATTCTTTTTTGCCACGCCACTCTGCGCTAGTGCATCGTCGCTCTTCTTTTGGCCATTGTTGGCAAGACAATTGTTTTGTTTTTTAAGTGTTGGCCTCGCTGATGAATGAACAAGAAAGCCCCTATGCCTTTCCTCTTGCAGCATCCTGCCATTGTCGGATGGCTTCCAAAAGAGACACGGCGACGTGTTGTCCTGTTGCGAAGGATGTGAGTTGAGGCGAACCACAAGAGGTGTGTGGAACAAAGAGGTACTTTCTGATCTTTTTTCTCCTCTCTCGTTTTTCTGGGATATCAGATTCACCGACTGCCACCGGCTGTTCGCTGCTTGTGCAAGTGGATGTTCAACTGATCACGCAGCGATGGACGACGGCAACGGCATGGTTTGTTCCTTTTGACACGACAAGCCGATCCTGCCTCCAAGCAGCTTCACGCAACTGCACGATGCGGGCTGGTAGGTTGGAGGCCATCGCTTCTAGGTTGGAGGCCATTGCTCTCAAGTTGGAGGCCATCCCTAGTAGGTTGGAGGCCATCGGAGGGCATTTCTATTAGGCTCTTCCTTATTAGGAGTCTTGTCCAAGTGCACCGGTTCAGGTGCTCCCAGATCTTGGCGTGAATGCACCCCAGCCTCATCCACTAGATGCGTCATTTGGCGTCAGCTGCTGCTCGTTGGCGGCCATCGCAGTCCGCTATGGCGCAGTGACCGAGACACCTGCTGGCTGCCAGGGCTGTCTGGATTTCAGCAACCAACCTGTCATCCGATCGTTGGCCAAGTTGAGTTTGAGGAAGAGGTAGACGACGAAGGTCTGTGGCGGTTGGTCTGTGCTTCTTGTGATTTGTTCTTGCTTTGATCTGTTCTCTGGTCGCGGATGAAGAACAGAAGCTTTACGTCAGTCACGCGCCGTCACGTGCCGTCCGCTGTCACACGCCACAGACTGCGGTTCGGCAGCTCTGCTCAAAGCGACCTTTGCCACCGTGCTTGGCTTGCATGGGCTACTAGCTAGCGCCACCGCCAAAAGGCGTTTGAGCAACAAAACACATTGTTGTCGGAAACCGGCGGTTGCAACCAACTTAAAGTTCCCAGTTTGAAGAGTGAAACGTCGACGCATGAATTTGAACATGGAACTTCATGTTAAATGGTATTTGGTAAAGTGCAGTTCTCGTAATATGAGGTTGAAGTTTGAGACCACTGGTCTTTAGGCACAAGTTTTTCCTCAAGATGTTTGTTGCGAGCATTTTTGGGCAGACCCAAGTCTGTGTGAGGGATGCGAAGTTGGCCGAGTGCCAGCGCGTGGCTAATGCCCTTGGTTCCAACCCGCAGTCATGGTGTATGAGAGTGAGACCATGCGCTGATGTGCTGAGGCTGCAGCTCCCGTGTGGAACACATGGGCTCACAGCTTGAAACTGTGAAGTGGAAGGTTGCAACCAACATTTTGCTGTAAGATGATAAGGTCCATCTCATGAACTAAGTTTTCCCACAGCTACAAGTTAGCACGGCAAGCCCCTGACCTTTCCATTCCTCTGGCCTGGCTTTGGCT